GTTCTTTTCTTCAAAAAGGCATTTTTCTGGATATCAGAAGCTTAAAACTAGCTTCTGAAGTGATCTTATTAATAGTGATTTTGCCGGGACCAATATTCACATTTTTGATAATATCGCAAAATGCTAAATGAGGCTCAGTATTAATAACTGACTCTGCTATCTTTCTTTTTGTATCAGTAATCTTGGTTAGTCTTCTATCTTCTTTTGTATCCGGAGTGTTTCCACTCCTAAATTTTCCTCTTTTAACTATATAATGAATAGTGGACTCAGGATCACCTAAAGACTTGGAAATTTTATTATATCCCATATTTGTATGTTTATACAGGGTATAAATTTCATTGTTCACGTCTTCTCTGGCTTTGAGAGTATGTGGTAGGGTCATGATAGAGGTAGTTGTTGTGGTAATGAGGGGTTTTGTAGTTGCGATCCAGGGATTCAAAGACTTTCTGGATACAACTGTACTTCAGGTTCTCTATATAAAGGTTTCACTACCTATATTAGTGCCTAAAATGGCCTAGCCTCACAGCTATATCAATAAATCAATAAGAGTGAAATATGTAAGAACAGTATACCTCAAGGAGCTTAATAGTCGAACGAATGAAGCAGCTAAAGCCACTTATCCAACAAAAAAAACACCAAAGTACTACCTGCCAGCAAACAGATCTCGCAATCTCAATAAAAAAATACCCAACCCCACTGCAGTAAGAAGTCTAAGGAATTACTGAAGCAGCATTCAAGAAAGCTGACTTACATCAGAGACAGGCTCTCTAGCAGAGGTCGTATAAGGTATTTAGAGAACCCAAGATACACTGTACCTGCAGGACAAGCTAAAGACCTTGGCAGCAAGAGGAACATGTATGTAATTTCTCAACTAACAGCACTTGACTAAATAGCAGTAGACCCAGAACTTCTCATCACAATTCTCAGCTGACACCTTTAGAAGTAGACTCCCCAAGAATATACCAGCAGCTAGGCTCATACAAGCATGCTCCAGTGAAGACGATGACTCGACAGAGTTAAAAACAAGAAGTACAGGTGAGGACTGGTCATACTTGAACTGATACTTCTTGTTCTTCCTCGTCTTTATACCTAGGAGCATAGTATCAACAGCAGAGAAAGAACTACTACTGCTACTCACTACCACAACAGGGATACCACTAAGACACTATCCTCACCAGTCTTGGGCTCGAGCTCAAGAGGCTCTGGCTCCTTTTCTTGAGAAGACGAAGCTATCATAACAGGCACTCCAATAGGGGTAGCCACTCCATTCAGTGAAGAAGACGCCTCAGCTATTACACCTGATAGATTAAGTAGAGGTACACCTATGCTACTCCCTTGCAGAGGTGGTGACAGCATAACCCCTAGTGTAACAGCCCTCTAAGGAAGCTCCACAGTCAGCCTCTGAAAGCTCTAAGAGTTTAGCCTACCCTACACAATTATAACAACTGTGGCAACTAAAGCAAGCTTGGGAGTAAGCGATAAAGAGATAACCGTTAGAACCATGAGCTCATAAAATGAGACTGAGAAGACAGTATTCTCCTTCTCAGTGAAAATGAAGTAGCCAAGAGAGGACAGAGTTTTGATGCCGAAGATGAGAGACTTAGCCTCAAGAGAGAATTTCTTCATGATAGTACAAGAGAGAACTACCGATAACCTCTGGGAGGAGGCAGTAGAAGGGGCACAGACTCACTTAGCCATATTGACTATAAGAAGGCGAGATGAAGAGAAGAAACTGTGTAGATAAGTAAAATGAAGCCTAACCAAGGCTTTAAACAAATGAGAGGATAAGGATAGTTACTATGTAATTGAAATTACAAACTTAAAGATATCGTGAGATAAAATCAAAGAACTACAGTCGAGATAAGCAATCTGAGGTAGAGCGAAAGCAAGAAGGTAGGAAAGAACTTAGGTGGTTGTATGAAGATCTACCTTAAAGGCAAACTCATTGTCCTATATAGACCTTTCCTCAAACTGCTTACAAATTTAACAGTCATCTGAATTATAGATGTACAGTCGTGTCCATAAAGCCTTTATACCCCGGCGTGGCAATTGTGTTGTCCTCCATCCCCAACACAACTGCCTCTACCATGACCCCTCCACATACCTGAAGAGCTAGAGAAGACCAAAATAAGGAAGTTTATGCTCTGTATAAACATACTGATATGGGGTATAATAAAATTTCTAAGGTTATGGGTATCTCTAAGGCAACTATTCAATCAGTAGTCAAAAGAGCTGAATCAAGAGATGGAAATACCCATAATGCCCTCAGATCTGGAAGACCAACAACAATTACCCCTCAAAAAAGAAAGATAGTGGAGTCCATTATCAATACCGAGCCTCATTTAGCATTACGCGACATTACCAAAAAAGCGAATATTGGTCTGAGAAAGACATCTGTGAATAAAATCATATCAGAAGCTGGTTTTGAGCTTCTGAGACCTAGAAAAAAACCTTTTTGGAGGAAAGGACAGAAGGAGAAGAGAAAGGAGTTTGCTAGGAGAAGGAGGAATTGGAGGGGTGCATGGAATTGGGTTGTTTTTGTGGATGAAGCCACCATTGTCTATGATCCAAATCCTACTAGCAGGAAGGTCAGAGTTAGACCTGGTGAAGAGCTGAAAGAAAAAAGCTTGAAGCCTAGCTTTAAGTCTGGGATGACTAGTATTGGGGTCTATGCTGCAATCATGAAGGGTGGCAGGACTGAGTTAATTCTTGTGAGGAAGAGGGGGCAGGAAGAAAGCACCAGGAAAAGAGACAGACTTGGCCTCAATTCCCACCAATATGTAACTGAAATCCACTAGCCATACCTCATCCCTTTTATAGAAGGTCTGGATAGACCTTCTGACAACATCTACCTAGCAGCAGACAATGCCTCCTGGCATGGTGGTGAGGAAAACAGAAAATTGCAGTCAGACTGTGGATATCAAAAATTGCCTTAGCTACCCAACTCACCAGATCTCAATCCTATTGAGAACACTTGGGCTCTGCTCAAAAGAGCCCTCAGAAATCGATTCTCCAGGTTGGATAGGAGGCCTCATAGTGCAACTAAATTATTTCAGACAGCAAAGGAGGAATGGGATTTAATTTCCCAAGAGAAGTTGGATGGGTAGATAGATTGGATGCCTGTGAGAATACAGGCTGTACTAGATGCAGATGGTGGTCATACAAAGTGGTAATATTTTCTTAAGGCTTATTAGTTCTATTCATATACTTTTCTTAATTGAGTTGTTTGAATTTTTTTCCAATTTTCCATGGAGAGGTGTTGTGGTTGTGTAGTTGCGCCACCAGGATATGAAGACTTGATGGACATGACTGTACCCCATATGACTACATGATCCATTGTCCTTATAACTACTTCTTAGGTCATGTGCATAGCTGCCATGACTCCTAAACTGGTCATGTATTTGAAATCTAAGAAAGCCTTATGAGGCTTACTTCTATTCAACTAGTGATCATAATATAACATAATGATCATGACTTAAAATCTAAGTCATATGTGAAACCTATATTACCCATAAACAGGTCATGTGTATGAACAATAATTATAACATTATACAACTTAACTGAGTAATTAACCAAACTGTATCCCATATTACTCCCAAACAGGTTATCTGTAAGAACATCAGCCATAACATATGAATTTCTTTACAAACCATGCTGGGTTTGTAACACATAGTACTGACTATATACTAACTTTGATGCCAGATTCCTCAGGCACCCTATTGGTGTGACATCCTATACTACACAGCTTAGGTCTGTTCGATGCCAGCTTTCTAATAGTGTCCTAAATGTCAACCTGCTAGCAATACTAATGCAGCTACAGCCTGTTATAAAAGTAGTCATTTCTGGCGAGATATTAACTATGTCCTAACTTTAATGCCAGATTTCTCAGGTGCCCTGTGGATGCAGTATCCAATACTATACAAGATAGACCTACACCACACCAGCTTTCCAATAGTGTCTAAAATGTCCTCTTGCCTACAATATTGACAGAGTCACAACCTGTTAAAAAAGGTCTTCCTTCTGTCATGTTTCTTGCGAGGTACTGATAATATACTGACTTTGATGCTAGATCTCCTGGCTACTATTTAGACATAGTGTCTGATACTGTACATCATAGGTCTACTTGATACTAGCTTTCCAATACCGAAAAGAATATCTTCCCACTAGTGGTATTTGTAGAGATATAGCCTGTTGTGAAAGAAATCTTTACTGACCACTGATAGGCTGTAACTATGTATATTAGTTCTAAAATGAATTATAATCTTAAATTTTAATTGAAATCTCCATTGTAATCTAGGTCACATATTGTAAAGGAGGAACCCTTAGGTTATTAGGTTATGCTTGGTAGATGTAGTGTTTGATCAGGTTGTACCTGGGTGATGTAGTGCTGCATCTGGTTGTGCCTTGAGAGTTCTTTGGTAACACTATTGCATGCTGACATCCATAGGATGCCATGTTGCACCCTGATTCATTATTAACACTCTGAGTACCCTGTGTGTCTGATACTGAGAACGCTTTGGACGCAAGGATAAATTTGTGCTGATAAACCTTCTCTGATAATAGCTAACAATGACGAGTAGTAGTGGTATGCAGGTGTTAAAGAGCCATAATAGTACCGTGTTGTATACAATTAATTTCCTGTTTTTGAATGTGTTTCACTGCTCTATCATAGTTTAGGTGGTTGACACTACAAATGTCCCTGGAGTAGGCACCACGCTTTTGCAATATCCAAGTTTGGGCTTGGTATGTGTCACCCGGATACTTTTGAGTCCTATGCAAATGGGGGAAATGAGGAGAGAAGAGAGAGTTTTAAGGTAGACATCAAGAAGAGGCTGAAAAGAAAAGCCCCCAAGAGCAAAGTCTATGGAAAGCGATGATTTGCACCCTCCAGGTCGCGGGAAGGGGGGTGGAGGCTGAAAAAGTGGTGATATTAGAGCTTAGTGTTGAGGTCTCCCCGATTAGGCAATAAATTTCGGTCACCGGAGGTGTAGCGGAGATAGAGCGTGGCAGAAAAGACGATTTAACACATGCCGTTATATACAGGAAAAAAATCCATCGGTCCAAAAATCCAATCAACAAATTCCTAAACACAACTCCAACAAGAAATAGGACCTAAAGATTAAACCCCTTCTCCTCAACAACCCATTTCTTCCCATCCAGCTTTTTCACAACCTCACACGCCCACCCTACAACAATCAGTCCCGGTGGTCGAGATCCTACCTCCTCAACCGCAAAACATACATTCTCAAGAGTCGACCTCACGATCCTCTGATCCGAGCAACTTGCTCTCTCGATGACAGCACAGGGCAACTCCATCGGCCAACCCTTCTTCTCCAAGTCACGAACCATTTCTCCAAGCCTATGCAAAGCCATCAGGAACACCGTCGTTCTCGTACTAACATACTCGGGTATCTCTGGCGCAGTGCCCTTCCGACCTGTGCCTGTGCAGATGAGTGCCTGATCCGCGACCCCTCGATGGGTAGGTGGTATACAGGCGAACAGAGGCGCTGACAGCGAGGAAGTTATTCCCGGGAGAACGGTGGGAGTGTACCCACGGCTCTCAAAGAATTCAAACTCTTCGGCGCCCCGGCCGTAGATGTATGGGTCTCCTTGCTTTAGTCGGATGACGTTTAAGCCTTTCTGGAGACCTTCAAGACCGAGTTTTAGGAACTCTTCTTGGGCTTTGTCGGCATTACCGGGGAACTTGCGGGCTATATGGACTACTACCCGTCGCGGGACTAGGGCGAGGACGGGCTGGGGGACGAGTTTGTCAGCTAGGACTAGGTCGGCGGAGGATATGGCGTTCACAGAAGCGGTCGTCAGGAGATCTGGATGACCAGGGCCGGAACCAACAAGTTGTATTCTGCCCCTATGCGGGAGGGAGCCTAGCGGTTGAGGAACGTCTCCGGAATTATTGGCGTCGATGTATGATTCTAGTATAGACCCGATGTCGTCGTCTGTGAGCCCTGCCAACTTTTCTAAGGGCCAATACTCGCAAATCTGCGAGAGCCAGCGTGTCCGCCGAGTTTTCGCTGCGTCTACGTCTTCTGGTAGAATAAGTGCGTTGAAATTGCTCTTCTGGTCCATGCCATCTACATCCTCGTCGAAAATGTCCGCCTCTCCGTGATCCTCTTCCCACAGTCTTCGCCTGAGCTTACCCAGACGGGTGCAAGCTGTACCCATACCTTGTGGCAGTGTATTCGTGATTTCCCTCTTAATCCTATTAGAGAGTTTGCACCCATTGCCGGAGGTGGTTACCCCGATCTGTAAGGGCCCGTCGGAATAGGTTGACAGTAGGGTGAAGCTGCAAAGGTGTGGGGCATCAGCAACGTTAACGGGAATTCGGAGTCGCCGACAATGATTAGATATGTAAGTGCCTATCAATGCCTTGTCAGTTCTTTCTTATTCGCTCTTGCCCGCGAGCGCCGGATCGCATACATTGTGCACACTCAATGGATAACGTAACAAACACCAAGTCAACGACTAGATCAACCTCCACCCTCCCCAAGGTTGTCAAGTCTTCCGATTGGAACTCCCGTCGAATCCATTGAACCTCTCCAGTTTCAATCCGTTGCCGCAGCCCGTAATGTAATGCTTCAGAGTCCGGAGCAATAAGTTTAACCTTCGCCCCGACTTCCAGACTCTTGGCGCAGCGTGCCCCAGCGAGAGGATTCGATCCGACAATTAAGTGAACCTGCCCTGAGCAGTCAAATGAGGTCAAGAAACCAGGAGAAGTAGTCAATCCGGGCATTCTGGGATGTGAGATCATGGGTTGTGGACATTTACAAGGCATCTTGTCGGGTGGTATAAGCGGCCTTTTATACAAATTTTGCTGGCGGAGAAAGTTCGCAGCACGAGGATAGGGCAATATAATGAAGATAATGGGATTTGGTGAAACGTGGGGCTTAATCGGCGGATTGGAGGGGTGAAAAAAAATGGCGACATGAGGCTCTTCCAGGGTCAGGACACGATCCTGTCGTGTTGATGTATCATACAAATAAAATCTCTTGAAATTCACAATCAGATTCTCAGCGGGAGACAGGCCGTCAGCCCAGCCGCTAGGATATGTTTACAATATTGTACTCGTACTGGTACCTTATGATATCTATGTTTATGATACTCAAATTGTATGAAATCCGGGAATTCAGTATGATACCGTAGACCAGAGGGTAGAGCCTAAGGGTACGAGTAGGGTTTGTTTTATCCCTTTGTCCCTATCCCGGATGATTGGTAAGGTGGTACTCGCATCATACCAGTCTCTGAGCCCCGCGGAGACAGAACCCGCGGAAACACCCTACTGGAGTAGATTGATCCCGGGCAAGTGCTGTGTGTAATATGGTATCATACCATTCGGAAGGGAGAACTCTCCGATAGGGGATTGGGTGTTTGGAGGATGGAATCATATAGTATCCTCAGGAATTGCAAACAATGATCCTCGAGATCGAGTGTTGAACCTACCCTAACGTCATTCGGACCGTTTAGAAACCCGGAAAGTGACCCTCAGCAGAGAACCAAGCAGTCTCGATCGTTGGTACCATAAGGTATCACAAACCGTGAGCCTCAAGGATTACCGCGTAACACCGCAGAGGAGTTCTTGTCGTGGGCTAGGCCAGCTCGTGGGCTTTGGAAGGCCCATGGGCTTGGGCTTAGTGGGGTCCTCGGCCCGCAAAGCCCACAGGTTCGCTAGTGGCCCACGGGGGTCCATGGGCTTTTTTTTTTTAATTTTATTTTTTATATAAACTTTTCGGGTATATTACTATAATATGCTATGATACTATGGGCTCTCGATGCACAATATGCGCATCCGCCCAATTTAACCTTCGTTCCCCATATTCGCAATCATCCAGAGCACAACATCTGCGACCGGGAAGGGCCACATTCCAACACGACCATATGACAACAAAGGAAACATCAACAATCCTATCAACACTATCCCCTTGGTCTCAACCACCCACTACCATGTTGAAAATGGTTGCTTGCCCTGCCCAAACATCATCCAACATGCCAGTGTACAGTACTCGCGCCGCCGAGTTGAAGTCGCGCACCCAAAACTAGTAATGATCGCCGGGTCAATCAAAACATCACATTTCATCATATAGATGGAAGATGCCTACTGCGATGATTCTACTAGATCATTTAACCATACATCAAGTAGAAGGTAACCTTTATTCTTATAGTCTTTCTTGATAAAACCTAAAGAAAGTATGAAAGAATGAAGTGGTAAGGGTGGAATCCCGATAGATGATATATGGAGATGAGTATGAAAGGAAGGAAAATCTAGAACCATCTGAATATCTCACGATAATCCACCACGATCTCCTAAGCCTATGCTCTATACGAACTACCATATACCTAATGGTATAGGGTATGAAGGGAACAATACAAAATGAAAGACCCCACCCATGTCATACACCTAGTAGCATAGGATTTGACAGACTCTCCTACTATATACCTGATTACTGCATACCATAAAAACACATACCCGATAACCTCCTATCTGCCTGAATGCATATCTGCCAAACCGCATGCCTATAAGTAATCTGATATTCCTAACCATTGAAGTTATTCCCTCCATGATGAAGAATAACTTGCCGAAGCTTTGCATGAAAGGACGAATATTTCTGATCAATAACTGCCTCAGGTAGATTCTCCCAAGATTTGACTAAGGCAGCCTTTACTGATTCCACTGTCTCTTGATTTGTGCCAACGAACCTCCAAGTTGATATCTCATCTTTTTCATAGTCCTATAGAGGTTAGATTTGGTTCAAATCTGACCATTTAGATGGCCAATCTAACATGATGATGTCTCTCCTAAGCTGCTTTTCCTGATCAACTCGCTGTGATTTTTGATGTGCAGGTGCATTATCTCCAACCAAGTAAGTTAAAGCCATTCCTGTTGTTTTCTATATCTCATTGATCCATGGATATAGCTTTGAACATAGAACCCACTCTTGGTATGACACCCAATTTATACTGCCATTGCTTGTAAAATAAAACTGTTCTTCTTTAAATAGCTGGTCTGGGCTGCATCGTTTACACTTATGCCTTCCTGCTCTTTCCTCTTCAATATTCCTGTACTCAATTGCTGTATCGATATCTTGGAGATAACGCTCTTGCTAGGTACCAGCAATATAGACTTGTTGTTGGTTATAAAGTTGTTGAATATAGTGCCAACTATTCTCATCATGAACTATCTGCTGAAATGTATTTTTTTCCTCCTCCATGTCTTGCTCCCAGACATGGCATGGGTCCTTCTGACCAAGCATTATAGCTCCCCAGAGCATAACTGTAATAGGAGCTTTCTCCTGATCACAATCGTGAATGGCATACTCATTGGAATCAATATCAATATAACGTGAAATGTTCTGCTGTCGCCTCTATGTATTAAATTCAATCCAGGTCTCGTCTGTAAATACAATTGTATTTACCGCTATTTGAAGGGTCATATGAGCAAAGGCTAACTGTGACTCAATATGGGCAGCTGTGAGAGTAGGCTTGTGTGTGGCTTTGTGTCAAAATATATGGTATTGAGTATAGAAAACTTCCTCCAGGGTCGATCATGCAGCAACCCTTCCAAGCTCTTTAGCAATTTCGGGAAATGGCATCAGCCAGTGTTCTTCATCTTTCTGACTTAAATCCCGTAGTACTATTGACTCCGGGCATCCATCAGGAAACCTTTGTTGATTACCTCCTCCATGATTATCTTCAAGACAGGCTAAAACATCATTAAAGTCGGTAGGATCTGAAGCGCGCTCCTATGAATTACATTCAGTTCTTAATCTTTCTAATATAAATGGATGTTATAGTATATTACCTTGGCACGATGGATGATATCCATTGCAGTCCTCTTCTTTACTCCAAGCTTGGTTTCTATGCTTGTGAAGGACAAATTTCCATGCCAATTTAGAGCTAAAATTGCAGCACGCTTTAGCAAAAGAACTCGAGAAGTACTTCCTATGCCTGAATGTGTAAAAGGCATATTAACGAAGGATAAGAGCAGTTGGGAGCAGAGTGATGGGGTTCCTTGAGCAGCGGTCTATGGTGGCATTGTTACATCTCATAGTTTAGTCTCCGATATTCAGTACCTCATACCTAACGTCATCCCCATTTCTATTGGCCCAACGATGATTACTAGTTTTGTTTGTGTGACTTCAACTCAGCGGCACGAGTACAGAGTCCTAAATTAAGGATCAGTTTATTTCTTTTACACATTAAGAGCTCCATATGGTTAAAGACCTCAGGTCTTATTTGTGGAGGATGATAACTTTGAATATAACTAATATAATACTATGATTTGTTACAAGTTGCTATTCTACACTATTTACAGTTACCTGCTTTATAATATAAGCTTATTGATAGTCAAATTCTGAATAAAGCCAATTCACCTTTGGGTTAACACTCTTTAATTATCTTTTCTATGCTAGTACCATATTTCTAAATTGTTGCAAACATAAACTGCGGTCTGGAGCTTAAAACAGTGGTAAAACATTACCATACAGTTAAGAAGGTTGGTCAGGAAAATTGACAGGCTTTCGTGGGCCGGGCCCAGCCAGGTCCTCGGCAAGCACTGCCGCAGAGGTCCACCCACGATACAAACTTGGCAAAATCACAACTCATTCACCACGACCCAATGACTCCCGCCTTGAACCTCAATAGCCCATCCAAGGGCGCCGCCCCCCCCCATGTCTTTACCATGTACTCGAGTATTCCCAGTTCTCACTCATATTTTTCTGAGGCCAATAAATAGCTGACGAATATATCTTTCTCCCAGACAGCCTGCTACATCCCCAGGCTCACACAAAACCTTTCTTCGACTGACTCTTCACCGAACTGCTCTTTCAACACTTGGTGTAAAGTCTGGCGAACTCTGCCAGATTTCTACTATTGGGGTTAGCGACGGGGAAGTTTTCCCAGTAATAGCTTGGTTGTCGTCTGATCCACATGTACAGAGACATGTTGCATTAATATCGGACAATGTAAAAGCACTGTTAGGGGCTGGGTATGAGGATAAAGTGCATGTTGAGAAGTATACAGGGAAGGTGATTGATGCCGCAAAGGTCGCGGTGAAAGAGGTGGAGGGGAAGTCCGTGGTGAAGGGATGGAGGTGGTATTTGGAGCATATTTTTTGTGAGTGCTCGTGAGATATATATGGAAGGTGAATAGGACTAATGGAGGGGCTAGTCGAGTCAAAATACATTTATGATAATTTGAGTATTCCGAACACAGAGTATAAAGGTGCCAAAAGGCTTTTTCGAATCGAAGCGGTCACTGGAGAAGGTACCCTGGTTGAGGATCGACCCGTGGTATATAAGGCGACCTTATCCACAGTCGTTGAAATAGCCAATCCCTCCTCCCCGTCCTCAACACCCATTATACTCCCTGCGCCCAGGCTAAACCCCTTAAAAGATCCTATCTCGCAACCTGGCTCTGCAATTGTGGCCCCCCCCTCAAAAACTAATTTCTCATCTATCGGTGGCCTCGCTCCACAAATCGCGGCACTTAAGACTCTCCTCCTTTCAACCCTCCACCATTCCCACCTTTTCACGAAACACAACCTAACACCCCCACGCGGAATCCTCCTCTACGGTCCCCCTGGCACTGGAAAGACTCTTCTCCTCAAGGCTATTGCATCTGAGATTTCTGCCAAATGCTACGTTTTAAACGGCAGTGTAATAGGCAAGTACCTTGGGGAGAGCGAGGCTGCTATTCGTAAAGTCTTTGCAGAAGCCAGGAAAAATCAGCCGGCGGTGGTGTTCATGGATGAGGCGGATAGTATAGCGTGCAAGAGGGGTGAAGGTGATGGGAACGAAGGGAGGATCGTTTCTACAATATTGACAGAGATAGACGGAATGTCTTGTGGGGATAGTGATGGCGTAGAAGTAGTGAAGCTGGTGGTTGTAGCAACAACAAGCCGGCCAAACGTTATCGACCAGGCACTCCGCCGACCAGGCAGATTCGACAGAGAGATTGAAATTGGTATTCCAGATGCTGATTCTCGTCGGGAAATTCTTGAAATCCTCACTCGAAAAATAGACTTCTCCAACGAGCAGCCCAAGGAAGCCATAATCAAGGCCCTAGCTGCCAAAACTCATGGTTTCGTTGGCGCAGATTTAGAAGAACTTGTTCGCACGGCCTTCACCAGCGCACTAACGCGCCTGGAACGGGACGACCTCGATCCGTCAGCTCTTACCCTAAGTGACACCCCACAAACTCACCCCCAATTCCTCCTTCGTGAAGCAGATCTAGACTCAGCACTAAAGGATGTGCGCCCAACTGCCATGCGCGAGATCTTCCTCGAACCCCCCAAGGTCCGCTGGTCTGATATCGGCGGCCAAGAGGAAGTCAAGCAGCGCCTGCGAGAAGCCGTCGAATGGCCGTTAGCCCACCCCGAGACATTCTCCCGTCTAGGTGGCACTCCGAGAAAAGGTCTCCTACTCTACGGACCACCCGGTTGCTCAAAGACCCTCACTGCGAAAGCATTAGCTACAGAGGCCGGGTTAAATTTCATAGCTGTTAAAGGCCCTGAGCTGTTCAATATGTATCTTGGCGAATCAGAACGTGCAGTTAGGGAGGTGTTCAGGAAGGCCCGCGCTGCAAGCCCGAGTATTATCTTCTTTGACGAGATTGACGCGCTGAGCGCTAGCCGTGATGGTGGGGGAGGGGGCGGTGGAGGTGGGGGGAAGACAAATGTGCTAACGACATTGCTCAATGAAATGGATGGCATTGAAGTTCTTAAGGGTGTGACCATTCTTGCTGCCACTAACCGTCCGGAAATTATTGTACGTATCCCCCTCCCACGAATCCACTGATCTCTAGATCACTTATCTCGTCTAGGACCCAGCGCTCCTCCGCCCCGGCCGCCTCGACACAATCCTCTATGTCGGACCCCCAGACCTACCCGCCAGAGAACAGATTCTCCAAATAAAGACAGGTAAAATGTCCATATCCACAGACGTCGACCTTGGCCATCTCGCCGAAGCCACGGAAGGCTTCTCGGGCGCAGAAGTGGTCAACACGTGCGACGAGGCGATCCACTACGCTATGCGCGAGTCCTTCTTCATAGAAGCGGTTTGTGCCAGGCATTTCGAAGCAGCGCTGGAAAGGGCCGTCCCGCAGATCACTACTGAGATGCGTGAAGCTTATGAAAGTTGGTCTGTGGGTGGGGTTAAGAAGATATAGTGGGTGATATCGAGTTGTGACTGGCGCATGCATACATGGAACGTCACTCGAGTGCTTTTTCTCCCTGTATCATTATCGTGGAAATCATTAATTTTATAGCCTTCGAAAAGTGAAATGGAAATGCAGAGGTGCTGAAGCCCCAGTGAGGGAATAACAGCGTACTGTAAACCAACAAAGCACCTTGTGGAAACCCATCTCCCCCCCAGTTGAACGCGTCCAGATACACAGACAACTGGAAGAGCAGACAGAAGTGGTAAGAGTGGTAACACACCTGCTAAAAATCAATGTGAAGAGAAATCGTACCAGAAAAAAAGAATAAAACAAGAGGGGTACAAATGAATATGAAGTGAGAAAATAGGCCCAAAAACCGATACCAGGAGGAAAGGAGAAGAGAAAATGAGAGAAAGGGGAAGGAGGAGAGAAAACCCCTTGAAATAAGAGAAAGTAAAATAATGTACAGTCTCCAAACCCCTCAAAGTAAAGCAGAGCAAGACAAAGCGAAGCGATACACCTGACCAATCACCCGCCGATCTCTGAACCCTGATTTGTTTTTTCTTCGATTGATTCCAAAACGCACCCCGCAACACAGCGCAAAACGAACCCGCAATACCCATCCATGTTGAACACCGACCAATTCGTGATATTTACGTCTGCCCTCTTCTACTCCTAATCGATTCTCGACCGAGAGATTTCGCCTTGGCAGTTCCTTTCATTTCCCTCCAGCTTTGTGTTTCCATTCATTAAAAAAGAAAGAAAGAAACCCATCATACAATAACTTTTTTTGTTTGCTATGATTTCGTCTAATGATTAATTATAAGTGAAGAAGAATTGGCGTATCCTGTCCTAATCTAATAGCCGTTGACGGCGCTGTTCCAGCACTCGAGAAGCTGGGGTCGGTTAGTAAAGGGGTTTATGAGGATGCGTTTGTGGGGAGGGGGGGAGGAGATTAACCTTATCGCCAACGATTCCCTGGCCCACCAAGTATCTCCCTAACCGTTCTACAACTTCCAGCTGCTCTTCGGGGGAGAGACTTGTGATTGCAGTCTCGAGTATACCGCCGACGCTCGCACGATGGTTTACAGCGATGAAGGATTGGTAGTACATGTAAGAGAAGAAGCCCATGATGAACTGACAATCCATTCGATCTAACGAAAGTTATTAGAGATGCCTCGATAATACGGGGGGATATACAAACCAGTGATACCACCGTGACCCGGAACAAGGTCTCCGAAATCTTTAATTTTAAAGGTCCTCTTGAGTCCACTGGCGAAAAATCCTCCAAAAGGTGCGATCAATGAAGCAAAAGTAGCCATCACGAGGATATGGAATTGCATAGGCTGAACCTTTACAGCTGTGCCAAGGATTGGTTGCAGGAAAAACGGAAGCTGGTATTCATGCTTGAGGAAAACCGGGTTGGGATCACACTCAAGTCCGGTGAATGCATTGGACCCGAGATCCTATTGGTTGAGACAGCCCCACGTTAGTAACGCCACCAAGACCAGTGCACTGATTAAACAAAATAAAGCACTAAATGTGGATCAGACATGCCATGACTCTGCAGTGCGCTTTTTGGAGGCGCTCAGAAGTCTAACATCTACATAAAGCAAGGCATCTCATCATATCACCAACTCCACATGCCGAGGGTTTGACAGACAGTATATTGGGGCCTGATTAGGAGATTTTGTGGAATTTCTCACCTTGACCGGACAGATAAAGTACTTGTATCGCATCAGGATGTTTGTCATGGCCAATCCGAAAAAAATAGTACAAACCCAGGCACCGACAAAGCCCTCCACCGTCTTTTTGGGGGAGATTTTGATGAGTTGGGTGCGCCCAAATGTGATTCCGCAGATGTAGGCAAAGATATCATTGGTGATTACTAGGGACACTGGGAGGAAGAACCAAATCATTCCCTCGAAAATATTGTTCATGATAAAGTGCGCTTGGACCACAACCAGATATAGAGCCATGTGGGTCCATGCGAACTGCGTAAACTGGAATTTGTAGTGTCCCTTCTTAAGAGAGGCAACAAAAAAGACAAATCCTATATATCCGTGTTCAGAGTAATGCGATCAGGAGAGAAGGGAGAAGTAATACCTATTATGTAGAGTACGAAGCTGATAAATCTGTGATGGGTTGCAAAGGGTAACAGAAATGCATCAACCACGACAATATGTTTGAAGTAGTAAATTACACTCTCACCATACAAAAAGTACATGGTGGCAGCCAGGAAGTACCAATTTAAACTCTTGGTGAACTGCAGTTTCTTCTCACGAGAAGGGACATTTGCGATAGCGATGACTTCCTTGAATGTTATTACCTGAACAGCCGTGACCAGGATCACTAGATAGATGTGGCCCGCGGCCATGGCGGCGAAAAAAAGTGCTATCATTAAGAGCGTCCATATTGTCCGTGTTATGAAGGTTTGCTTCTTCTTCTCATACTCTGAAAGTGGGGGAGGCTCCTCCTGGGTTCGCTCAACACGTGTTAGCGGCACTGTTCGTTCCAGCGGAAGAGCGATTAATAGACCAGTCTAGTGATCAATCAATCAATCTCGGTGCAACGTACCTGTATCACAGGAGACCTATTTGCACCTGTGTCTGTTCCATCTACATGAAGCGCTGATCGTGAGGGACTGATAACACCGTCTTCACTTGAAAAGCTACTTCGCCTTGCGCTTGAGTCGTTGGATGTGCCGATTTGTGAGCGGTGGGCGAATTTGACGTTTCTTCGCGGTTTGGCCATTTTCGGTGATAGAGAGGAAAGGAGAGGGAGAGATCAGAGCCGAGACGGGATGATGAAGATCCTTTCACACACCAACGCCAAAGATTGCGAACGTGGTCACAACCTCGAAAACCGGAGGGAAGAAGCTCGCTGAAGGTGCAGGGGAACAGTTAAAGCAGTGGTGTTGATACCGTACTCGAAGTGTGAAGATGAAGGAGTGCGATTTGTGAGTCTCTTAAGAGGTATTGCGAGGGAGCAGAAGTCTGTAGGTCTCCGGAGGCTTATTTTCCCTCTTCCGGTCCCTTTTGCTTTTGTTTTTTTATTTTATTTTTTCTGTTTTTTTCCCTTTTCTCCCGTCTTCCCTCTTCCTCTTCTCTCGATTTTTCCCCCACGCTTATGTGGGTATGGAACACTGGACGATAAGAGAATCCCAGAAGGAATGGAGCAGGACGACAGGTCGGGAATGCTTGGTGCACGATACCGGTACCGGTAATCTCTGTTACCACTGAAAAGCAGTGTTGGGCAGATCCAATTGGGTTCGCTTGAGTAAGTGACGCGGTGAAAGTTTCTCCACCTAAGGTTGACTGCTCAGACGTTGATTGCAGCACGCCAAGGCTGGCTGACTGTAAATTAACTGGCATAACTCAGTGCACCCCGATGAATCTGTCAGAGGGTAATTTAGTTTGTGGGGGCACCTCTCAGGTTACGCACAGTTTGACTGGATTAGGATTGGCCGAGCCCCCGGCATAAATTGAACGAACGTTACTGTACCGTACTGTACTTGCGGCGAGACTAAAGTTCTGAGACCGAGCTTTGCCATCAATGCTCAACGTACGGTGCAAAGTGCGTAAAGGTGGGTCCTCCGATGGAACAAGAATTTCCATTGCAACCGATCCGAGTTGTGCCGGGGTTCAGCAAGTACAAGTAACGATTCATCTCCGGACAATGAATAGTGAGCCTGTAGTGAATGTATTACATCCAGAACTAGGTGTAAGGGAAGCTGTAAAGTAATGTGAATAGGGTTATATATTATAGACTTGAGAAAATGGAAGACGAAAAAAGATAAAACATCTTATCTCACTAGCTATTAAGATTGTGTGCTAAGGAAACATGTTGGTAACTGTTATATACATTATCTGTAAACTAAAAAGTGCAATACTGTAATTCAGTAGAATAAACATTAATTGCACAGGTTCTTTTCCACTAGTATTTAAGCAGTAAAAAAAGAGAAGATATATCCTGCAAGGTCTTGGAAACAGTTTTAACTAGGTAGGATCAATTGTATTAGCAATTTTTCCTAGTAAACAACTTTTTACTTTTCCCATCAGTACTTATGCCTACAAGCCAAGAACTGGTACCTTATTTGTAATAGCCTAGTAGATACATGATATTATTTAAAGGGTATAATATTGAAGCTGCTATTAAAAGAAGTACTTACATTACTACCATGTAGAGTAGTAAATATTACAGCCATGAGGCTAAATAATGTTATAATATTATTATATCATATTTCCTCACTATTAATTTATTCTAAAATCATGTTATACTCTGGAGTTCTTTATGTAGTCTCCATTTGGTTCAATTTTGCGATCAAGTAAATTTTGTGACCTGAAGTGAAAACATCTAATTTCACATTAAGATTGCTGTCAAACATGTAATTGTACTAATTCATATAAAATATCATTTACTTAGGCTATCAACAAAGTCTTTCTGATAGCTTAAAAGTTATATTTATTATAAATCACCCAGCAGTATTCTGGAAAGAGGTATTAAATCTTATCTTAAAAGTATAAGTACTTTATATCTTATAATGCTAGGTCAAAGGATTACATATAATAACAATACCATTATAGGAGCTAACCAAAGTATTTATGTGGATTTTTCTTTTTTTCTGTAAAGGTCTTAAATACCACAGGTATTTATAAAATATCTGTTAGGTGAAGATGACTTGTATAGTCTCAGGATTATTTAAGCCAATCAAGATTTGTTTTCATAGAAGGAAATTTATCTAGAAAGGTTCTAGATATGTGCCTTTTATTTGTAACTACTAAGAGGAAAGTAAAGTAGAATTGAATTGTGTGAATAATATTATATTATTAAGATCTCTTCTCCATTGCTTGATGATGTCTAAAAGCTTAAAAGGCACTTTGATATTTATATTCCATATCTGAGTATTTGATAACTACATTTATTTTTTATACAACTTATGTACTTTTCCCCAAAAAGTCACAATGTCAGGTATTCCCCAATGGGGTGAATACTAGGAGACCCTGAAAACAATCACATACTCTTCCAGTAATTACTGATTTATCCCTTAGAGAGCATTATTGTTTCAAGTCGTAATTCCATGATTATCAGAGTTCTTAGACTATGGCCTAGTTCTTAACCCAAAATATTTTGGTCCTAATTGCTTTCTTCATTGATGAAAAGATGAGTTTTATCTGGAATGTTGAGTCTGGTTATTTTGCTAGAAGTCAAAGACTTCTAATCATGATGACACTGGAACTATCAAATCAGGTTTTTCCCAATAACTTTTCTTGTGCTGAGGAGAAGATTTTCTATAGGATATGATTATAATCACTCATTTGGTAATTACTTTCATAGCCTCAAAGGTACTGCAGAAGTAGTCATATATGCAACCTTTCTTGGTCATCAACTTTGCAACTCAATATCTCCTGATATAACTAACAGATTTCTTGCAGATAACTTTCTATTGATATGCTGGAAGCTATTCTACCAAATTGGCAGATAACTCCACGGTTGGAAACTCTTGTACCTCATTCTGTGAGTAGTAAAGCTATAGGTAATGGTAAGAATCCTACTCTGTATATGTTAGTTCTTCAACAGGTAATGACCTTAACTCTTTGATACTTCAATAGCTCTGAGACTTTTTGTCTTTGTTACCACTTTTGATAATAAGGATTGATATGTTCTTAATCTGGTGTTAGTTTAATAAGCATGATATCTTTCTCATGAAGCGTCACATGAAATGTTTGTAGGTATAACAGTATAGATTTAACTTGTAGTATAGAAAAGAACTTAAGTGGTCGCATAAGGAGTCTGTACCAGAGGTCTTTGATTTTTATTTTTTTATTTTTTTATAATTATATTATTTGTTATTAAAGTACAAGAAAACCGCATACAGTACTAGCTATAGTGTAAATAAAATCATATCTACTCTGAACCAAGAGAAAACCAGTACTCCCAAGACCCTCTGAGATAGGCCCTACCATACGCAGTCTACGGATGACTAACTTAGGTCCACTGTCTGCAGACCTCATGATCTGAATGCGATGGGGTCTCACCCATAAGCCAAGCAAATATCCATGAACATTTTTTTCCTAAATGAAATTGCTCCCACTAACTACATATAGGTAACAGAAGGGAAACCAAACAGGCTAGACAGGAAAAATTAAGGAAAAATTCTACCCTTAAACTGCAAAAAGCTACAAAAGAAAGTAAACCACAGCCTACTATCGCTAGACTGCAATAGGTAAAACCATCTTATAAGTGTGCAGCTGGCAAGAGGCTTGAAGGCCGATACCACCAGCCAGCTGAGCCAAGGGAATTGTGCAATACCAAGATATGCTAGCCCAGAAACAGGGCCACAGTGTCAGACCTAAGGAGTGGATGCTTTGACAGAGGAGATGCTATCCAGCAGTAGGATGCTAGTCAAAGATGGACTATGGGTAGGTAGTAGGCTGAAACCACAGAATACAATGTGGTGGAAGAAAGAGGTAGTAGGGTACCAGCCAGAAGGAGGTGAGTCAGTAGAGTGTAAGCGAACACAATCGAAGTAGAGAGAGGGAGGAAGGGCTGGTCGCCCTAGACAAATCCAACCATATAACTGAATTGTTACTGTATTACCTCTTGTCTTAGGTAGTCTCTTCCTCTGCGAGAGATGGCTTAATTTAGTGTAAGGGATACTACTAGCAGTAAGGAAAGAGAAGTGTGAGGGAAGATAGGTGATTACAACTTGAATGAAGTGACTAGGAGGGTATGGTCAAATCTCACTGTGAGACAGACCCTGAAGTTACTAATAGCCAAAGGGTTTTCAGATAGAGATGGTATAAGAAGGGAGCAAAATGTCCACCACTACCAGTACCAAACAGAAGTGAAGAGAAGAAGCTGACTGTGGCAAAGCTAAGTGAACTGCTCAGGCAAGACAGGACTATGGGGTGAGGCCCAGATAACTCCTCTATCAAGTAGATATAAAACAAGTAAAGTGAAGGTGAGTGAGGCTGATAAAGAGAAACTGTACTACTAGGCACAGACTATCAAGAGGGCAGAGGAGAGGGCAGATGGTACACATTAGTTGACCATGGTATTGTCAAACTATGTGGAAAGAAAATAGGAGTGACGAAGTATGATGTACCAGAGGCACTTTTTTGTTTCCATTTTATAATCATGTTATTAGTTGGTTAAGGTACAAGAGTACTGCATGCAGTACTAGCTATGGTATAAACAAAACTATTACCTACTTAGACTAAGAGAAAACCCGTACTCCTTAGACCATCTAGTATGGATCCAACTATACATACTCTAAGGATGATCAACTCAGATGCCTAGTCTGCAGACCTTACGACTTGAACACAAAGAGGTCTCACTAAGAAGCCAGCCACATATTCAAGAAAGTTCCTCAACTGAAAGAAAACCTCTTCTACTAACTATATATAGCCAACAGAAAGAAAACCAAAAAAGCTAGGCAGGAAAGTATAGGGAAAAACTCTACCAGTAAATAACCAAAACTATAAAAGAAAGCAACCTATAACCTACCGTCACCAAAATGCCAAATGTAAAACTACTCTGAAGCAAGCAGCCAGCAAAGAGCCTGAATGGTGACACCACCAGCAGGTAGGATCTAGAAAGTAGTACAATACTAGGGATGTGAGTCAAGAAATAGGGGTCACCATACCAGATCTAAGGAGTGGATGTTTTAGTAGAGTGAGTATCACCCAGCAGTAAGATGTCAGCCAAAGATCGACTGCAGGCAGGCAGCAGGCCAAAACCCCAGAACAACATATAATGGAGGCAAGAAGAAGTAGGGTAGTAGCCAAAGGGGGTGAGTCAGTGTGATGCAAGCTGACACATTTGAATGGGAAAGGTAGAGGGGGTGTCAAAGCCTGCAGAGCAAACCTGATAATAGCAACCGAACCATTACTCTTTTACCACATCTCTCATATAGTCTCCTTGTTCTCT